ATGGGTTTGATGGAGATTTTAACATTTTTTTACTATACTACTATGCCACATTAGAAGTTTATGAAGCTATTTGAGAGAAGTATATCTATAAAAGACACTATCTCATATTGAAAAATTATAAAAACATTTGAGAGAAGTGTACCTATAAAAAAAGTATGTCATCCAAAATGTTTTGCCAACTTTCATATTTGGTAAGCTCAACTATTAATAGAGACAGGCAAAGTGAAGGAGCCTCTACAAGGCTGCAGCAATAACTATATGACGTAGTTTCCAATTATGTTACTACAGTTAATAGTATGCTCAATTAGAATAATGAAAAGTGTATCTATAAAAAGAGTGTCATCCAAATTCTCAAATAGTAACTTGTGTTCTTGTGATCTCTACTTAAAAAAAAAGGTTGAACCCCAATCTTGAGGGCCCCATCGCCCCGCCCCTAGAACTTTGTGAGGGAGATAAATCGTGGGATGTGTCCCAACAGGCCCGAGAACAAGAGCTGCCTGTACACTGCGCCTACAAGGAGTCCAATTCCATGTTTCAGGAATCGAACCCTTACAGTGCGACTGCCAGCAAGACATTAGATAACATCACTCCTATCCTTTGCACCACTGGGCTATGCCCCGAAAGGCATTGTGATCTCTGCTTTCATATAGTTCATATTATTGTTGTTTTTATTATTTGACCCAATTCTTAACAGTAGAAATAATTGCAAATGCAGGGTCGCATCTATGCACATGCACGAACTGCGATTGCACAAGTGTAACCTCGCACAGTTCATAGTTTTCTCCTCATCCAAGTTAGCCTACGAGTTACTTTGATTCAGCTTTGGCCCCATCCTATTTGCTGGAAGTCCTTTATCTTCCAAATCTTGACACCTTTGTCCCATCTTACATAGTTTACTCAATTTAGGTCCTTTTCATCCACTTTTTGTGCCTTTTCTCCAGAAATCACCACATCGAGTTTCTCATGATCAATCAATTTACAAAGAAAATTAAGTATAAATCAACAAAACACTCCAAAACGTCCACTTTTTTGATATCCAAACAAGAGAAAAATTACACCTATAAATGACACTGCTGTATCGTCTTCCCTATTTATTTATTTATTTTTTCTTTGTTCAAATTACAAATTTATAAAAACTGTCTTTACACGTAATTTTACCCAATATCACAAGAAAGAATCAATACTGTTGTTCATGAAACAACTTTGAATAATAATGAAATGTTGGGCATATTCGTTGCACTAGGCATATACAACATGACTCTAACCTGCCAAACACATTTCATGCTTAAAAGGAAAGGATTCATTTACAACTAACCTCTGAAAATTATCGAAGTTATCACTCCATTGACATTCAATTAACAAATAGGAACTTGCAAATGATGGGCTGTTTGCTTAATTAATTCCTCGATTGATCTAATTGGTTACTCATGAAGAAAAACTGGTATTTGAGTGGTCCCACCTTAAACAATTGGCGACCTTTCTTGAAATTTAAATCAAAGTTAGTAAGTTGTAATTGTATTCAAATGATTTTTCGATAATAAATTGGTTGGATTAAATCGTTGAACTTGTCACTTTATAGTATGGACATCGGTGGAGTCAATAATTAAACGCAGGTAAATTATAAAATTGGATTAGATCGGATAGACCAAGATGTTTAGATGTTAATTAAAATGAAAGCTTGGGCTTTATTAAAATAGACTTTGTTGCCGAACTTACGTTTTGTTTTACTCTGTGAATTTGGAAGTCTATAATTAGACCAAAAAATGTACAGTAGTTCAAGTAAAATAACTCAACAAGTTTTGTGACAAAAGCGTAGTCAAGTCCCATTGTGTTGAAATTAGCAAATAGTAAGTTACTTATGATTGTTTATTTTAATTGAATTTGAAATCTCAACTTATTAATTAAAATATTTCAGTTATTTATCAATTTCTCACAATGTTGTCTTCGTGCAGCCGGTCTATTATTTTGATCAATAATTCATAAATTTGTCCGTTTGTTTAATTAATTATACAATAAGTTTTATTTCTTTATTATGTAAAGCTATCTTGTTGCCTCAAGGTCTTACCTAAACCCTTTTTTCTCTCAAATTTTCATTTTTTTTAATTATAAAATTTGTGTGTTACTTATGATATGATATGAGAGTCTCTTTTCAATTTTGGCTCATGTCCTATATGTGTTCAATATGGCTTAAGTGTTTGTATCGACAAAAGAAACTAGCCACGTCTGCCCTTTTTATACATGTGCGATTGCATTCCTTGATTGTTTGCCATCTATTAACAAACAAGATTTGCTTCTACTGGCATAAAAAAGTGGTTGTGATCGCACCTAGATAACATTGAGGGATTCCCATTTTGATCATTCGGTCTGCTCATTTGTTTAGCTTGAGTCCTGTTTTGTGCAATTTTCATCATTTTCCTTCTGGTTTCATCTAATTAATTCTATAACATCATTAATCATCATCAATAGGTCCGAATCAAAATTTTGAATAATTACAATTTGGCCCATGAAATTTGAAAATCTCTATTTTTGCTGATTTTCGTTCATTTTTTTTTTCAAATTCATTTTTAATTATTGAGTTTTACCTAATAAACAATATGTACAAGATATTAAGCTATAATTTATTAAAAGCAATCCCAAATATTCATATTTAACCGTCTATATAATACACATATCACAGTCCATTCATTTTATTTTCACTAACCCAAGCATGAAGGAAAAAGTGGGCTAAATTCTAATTTCCCATCAATAAATCTTTCTATTTATCTTTCTTCCATCTATTGTCTGGTTTTCAATTCTAAATGCACACTACATATGAATAGATTCCATAGCCCTAATTAAAATTATTCCAATATGATATTTGACCTTTTCCTTTAAATGAAAATGGAGTTAAAAAGCTTTGTCTTGTGGTATTCTTCATTTTGTTCAACAGCTTCTTCTCCTTCCTAACTATTTTGCCCTCTGTCTTATTTTATCCTTTTTCCTATCTCCTCTCTCTCGGTTGCTGTTTGGTGGTAAATGAGTCACAATGCATAAGACCAAAATTGCAAGTTGAACCCATGTTTGCATTGTTCTAAAAATTATATGGTTAGTAGGGGAAAAATCATCTTGTTTTTATTATTATTTTAAATTTTTAATCATTCGAAAATTTATTTAACAAATTAAAATAATACATACCAAGCATCTAAAATTATAGAATACTATCTTTATTTAATAAATTCCACAATTAGTCAATTATACAAAATTTTCAAATTTAAACTATTTTTTATAGTTTAAATTTTCAAATAAACAAGTCATACTTAATAAATTTATAGAAACTTCATACATATTATCAAAGTTTTTAACAAATCCATAAGTCTCAAAGTCATAATTATGTGATATAGATTGTGCCATAGTTTAGTAAAGTCATTTTTGACTTTTGTATAGATAAGGTCATTTAAAACTTGAAACAAAGTGGAAAAAAAAAATGCTTTTAGTAAAAGGAAAACTAATAAAAAGAAGTAAAATAAAAAGATTTTAATCATTTAGTTGTTGACCGCTTGATTTCTCGCTTAATGTTAAAGCGAGGCGTTTCGTCCATGCCTAAGCATCGTCTATGTGTATTTTTTTGGGCACTGCTTATTCGTATGTGAAACGCTTAAAAACATTTTCTTCTATAACTGCTGAATAGCCCTATGAAAGGCCACTAATTTGCAATACACTTTTGACTTAACAAAATGGATTTACATATTTAAGATATAGCCTCCAAAAATTAAGTACAAATCATGACAAAGTTGAATCGAATTTTTACAATTGTAGTCTTTAAAGGTCTGCGATTGCAAGTCCCTAATTGTTGCTTTCGATTCAACAAGATTCCAATCTTCTTCTCTTGTTTCGGCTTGAACCTTTTTTTAATTGTATTTTTAGTTCTTCATTTTTATTTTTTTACAATTAAATCCTTCACATTCCAAAATCATTAAATATGGATTTGAAGAAAGTTTAAAAGTATGAAATTTAGTGTTCAAATTTCAATTGTTGAATTAACTCACAAAACTTATGAATTTCTTCGGAGTGCTCTATTTATTCTTCTAATTGATCATGTGCACCCCGATTAATTTTTAATTTCCCAAATCAAATTCATTTAAACTCCAATTTGACATTTTTCCTGCCAATTGCATTCAAGTTGAGAATTTTCCTAAAACTAAAATAACTTACACAAATTAACTAGATATTCGCTCAGTCTAGTAATAAAAAAAAAAATAGAAGTCAGAAAAATTGCATAAAATGCAATTAACCTCATGATATGGAGAGGTTTTACAGTATTTTTCTTCTTTTTTAAATTACAAATTTTATAACATGTCTTCATACATAATTTTACCCAAAACACAAGAATCAATTCTGTTGGTCATGAAATTAGGTCCCTGTTTGTCATCTTTTACTTTACATTCTTCCCTATTATTTTTTCTATAGTACTCATTTTTAACCACACATTTTTCACTAAAATAATATTACACGAAAAAAAACTTTTTCTTCTTTTTTAACCACACGTTTTTCATCAATCACAATTCCATAATACATTTCTTCAAATTAATGGGGCTCAAATAGGGCCTATATTTGTAACGAAGTTTACTGCAAAATTATTGCAGTAGCAACATACACAACCTGACACCAAGATGGCAAACAAATTTCGTTTTTAAAAGGTTAAAGACAGGTTTCATTTAATTAGCGTCTGAAAATTATCGAAGTTATAAAGAGCATAACTATAGAACATTGTAATCTTAACAAAATTCAATTTAAAAACAGGAACTTCACATGATGTGCTGTAGGTTTTATTGCTTTCTTAGGTGAAGTTAAAGTATTGCTTGTTTCATTACCTAAGATCCTTTTTCCCTCAAAGTTGCCTTAATCCTTTTCACATTGCCTAACCTTCGTTTTCCATTGAGACCCCAAAGTTGCCTCAAATCCTTTTGAGACATTGCCTAAACTCCTCTTGAGACATTACCTAAACTCCTCTTTCCATTGAGATGGCTTATGCATCTCTACTTTCACTTGCTCAAACATTAGATCAGATCCTGCATCCTCAGGATCAATCTCTAAGTCTTCATCATACAGGGCAGCAGATCATGAGATCTCTCCATGAAAAGGTTAACTTCTTGGTGGATTTTCTGGATGTTATTTCACCAAAAAGTAGCGAGAATATTATTGGTTTGGAAGGAAGAATCAGATATGCAGCGTATGAAGCTGAAGATGTAATTGAATCCAATATGTCGAATCAAATAGTCTCAGAATGGGAGCAGAAATATGAATGCTTGCAGGAGGTAATAGAAGAAGTCGCTTCCATTTCAGAAGATTTGGTGAAGATGATGGAGAGGAACGAAATAGAAATTGTGCAATCAAAGAACACTTATCCTCCTGCTCGTTCCACTAACAGGACTGCTATTGTCGGAATGGAAGATGATATTTCACGTACTAAGCATCTGCTGAGCCTTCCGAAATCAGAACTCTGTATCATCTCAGTTTTTGGGATGGCAGGCCTTGGCAAGTCTACACTAGCAAGAAAAATTTATAATGACCTGGTTATTGCATCTCACTTCGATGTTCGTGCGTGGGCAATGGTATCACAAAACTATTATGAAGAAGAGGTACTCAGTCGCCTTCTGCATTCCATAAGAGACCTCAAGTATGATTCAAGCCAAGAGAGCGCAGAAAAAGTAGTTGAGAATCTATATAAACGTTTGAAGGACAAGAGATACCTTATTGTCTTGGACGATGTGTGGGATGGAGAGATTGTGTTAAAAGTCAAAAGCTTGCTTCCACATGACAGTAATGGAAGCCGAATCTTGTTGACCAGTCGACTAGAAAATGTTGCTGAGTATGCTGATCCTAATTCGATCATTCACCAAATGAGCTTTCTACATACTGATGAGTGTTGGGGGCTACTGCGTGGGTTGGTATTTGGCGAAGAATGTTGTCCTCCTGAATTGGGGGAATTAGGTAGAAAGATTGCACATCATTGCACAGGACTTCCACTTTCAATTGTCCTGATCGGTGGTCTCCTATACAAAGCCGAGAGGACAAGAGAATACTGGAGGTATATTGAACATAGTATTAATGCTGAACATTATGGGTATTTCTCCATTCAGGGCATTATAACTTTCTACTATTACCAGTTGCCCCATCATTTGAGAGCATGTTTTCTTTATATGGGTGTTCTCCCTGAAGATTATGAGATCTGTAGATCCAAACTCATAAAATTATGGGTTGCCAATAGATTTATAAAGCCAGAAAAATCGAAAAGCTTGGAAGAGGTGGCAGAGGAGTTTCTAAAAGACCTTATTGATAGAAATTTGATTATGGTTCGTGAGTGTAATTACAGTGGTGAAATCAAAACCTGCTGCATCCATGATGCCTTGAGGGAATTTTGCCAGATGAAAACTAAGGAGAAGTTTAATTCTGATGATGAGAATCTTACAGAAGTCCATGACAATCTTCGACACATTAGTATTCTCTCAGATTTGAATAACCAAATCCCCAAATTTGATCTTGCAGACAATCTTGATTTACGTATCCGCTCTGTTACATATTTTTTTGGCAATAGCCCACATGGTACATATTTTGTCAAGAGTTTTCGGCTGCTGAGGGTATTGGATGCACTCACAATATGGTTTGACGAGTTTCCTATCGGAATAGTTGAACTGGAGACTTTGAGGTTTATTGCTTTGACTTATTGGGCAAAGCATAGGATTCCTTCGTCAATATCCAAACTTCGCAATCTGGAGACTTTAATTGTTAATCCAGGGAAACTGAGATCCATCTTTAATACATCATTCCTACCGCTGGAAATCTGGAAGATGTCACGATTGAGGCATCTCTTGTTCGTGATAAGTTTCTTGCCTTATCCT